TTCCTCAACTATATAATTTTATGGCCAAGCAATTCCTGGTTGAAAATTTAATAAATTTGTTGAAAATTTTTCAGTAATTTTAATAAGATCAAAACATAAATATAAATTAATTTGTTATATGTAAATGCATTTTATGCACAATTTAAATCAGCTATAAAATTTCAACTACATCCTGTGTTTTTTGCCCATATATTCTACTACCTAAAAAGTAAGAAAAAATTCTCAATGTAACATCCAGTGATTCATAAATTTTTCTGAGGACCCACATCGCCCCTACACGTACTTTATCTACAAACATCGCCATTTGATCTTATTTTTTCAATTTACTCCAAATAAAAGCCAACACTGTTCGCATCCGACAAACAGTATAAAATCAACTATCCTAACATTGTCTGAAAAATTTGCTATTCATTTCGCCATTGACTTCGCCCAGGGGTCTTTTGGCCTCATTGTCGGTGCCCAGTCAACAATATCCTGTGGTCTAGATGTACATAGATATAGGTACATAAATCTCTTACGGGTATCTTGCACCTTTTCCCGATCTGAAGGACGACCACCTACTAAATACACCTTTGATTTTCTGCCGACTTCGGATATTTGTCGGCGAACTAAATGTCACAACAGATTTTTAATGTGAGCAAGTTAAATTGTTATCTCGGAAATGGTAGAGCGTTTGCCTCTTCAGGGTGTCCTTATCATCGGAGACGATTTCAGTAACCTTAGGTGAATGTCTAATAAACTCACCTTATAAAGTGTATGCGATAAGTTAAATGGGTTATAGAAACAATAAATAACAATTAAATCAAGCACAGAAAAAGTTTGATAATATTTTACTGGGCTGAATTGAGTAATTTGAATATATTCATTATAAACCGAAATTTGTTAAACAAAAGAGCTCTGAAAAAGGTTATTTTGTTGAAGACACTACGCATCAACAGCAATAATAAGATCTGCCTGAATTTATTTGAATTTTTATAAAATTACGAATACAAACATCCATGATAACAACTAATTATTTGCCTTATACATGGTTAAACAAAATGTGGAGAAAAACTGCATTTTCAATATTTTGTTTACCGTACAACATAGAACACACAAGTCGTTCGTATGGAAATAATCGATTTCTCAGTAAGAAAATATTATCAATACAAACACTTTTCTCATTCTGAAAGTTCGTTGAACCGGTTCTAACTATTTCCAATTGTTTATTGTTTAATCGGAAATTGGCAATAATGTTTTCACTTATTGAAACTATCGTGATGTGGGATGTTTGAGGTTGGTAACCTCTGGTTATTGATATAAGATGGTTATTGATATAAGATTTTTCCACGATTTCTATATTGCATATGAGGTAAAGATCAATTTATGGGGGTATTAATTCTAAAATTCAATAAATAGGTTTATCTTTATACATCTTTTTTTCTTCGCAATAATGATTTTCTTTCTTTTATCTTTAGAATGCAAGAAATCTACCTCTATCTTAGGCACAAAATGCCCAGTTCACATTTGCGTTTTTTTTAAATAAATGTTATTAAATTGCTGTTGCTGTTATTTTTGATGTTGAAAAAATGTCTTAGCAATATGAAGTAACAATAAAAGAAAAATGTGAAAATTGCAAATTTGTTCATGTGTAACAATGATATGCAAGAATTTATGTGTAACATAATAATGTATGGTTGATGGTGATGGAGATGTTGGTTTGTTAATTGATCTTATTATTAATAAATAAAACGAGAAGTTTGGTTAAAACCACCACTAGTTCTATTTTAAATCGGCTTCCTCGATCTTCCGCAGTATCGAGGTTGTCCTGACCGGAGAACCGCCGTCTCATCAGATAGCATCTCTGGATCTCACCATCTTTGAATTTTACAAGCGCCCTTATGACTATTGTTATATTGTTATTTTTTGTAAGTTATTCCTATTGACGGTTCATTGTCAAAACGTTTTGAAAGCGGTAACATAAAATACACGAAAGTAATTGAATCGAAGGGACGGACACAAAGGGCGACGCGTTACCATTGGCGCGTGACTAAACGGCAACGGGCTCAAACAGATGTTTGCAAACTTTCTTTCAATGATATTACGGTAAAATTGTAGAATGGATAGGTAAATTTGTTTTTGAATTGATATTTTGACTTTGGAAGTAATACGATGTAAAATAAAACACAATCGCATTATTGATACTGCCTTTCCTATTTATTTACCTATTTTTCAAATTCACTGAAACGTTGATAAAAAGTTTAAAATTAACTTGAAAATAAGGGTTTAATCATCATTAGTAACTTCCCATTGAGTAAGTGAAAATAAAAATGTTCATATATTTTTACGCTTCAAAAGTTTCTGAACATTCTGGCATACCTTAGAAAAAATGAATGTGTACGTGTGTGTGTGCGTATGTATGGATACAATTTTTCGTCCATGTTTTCGGGAGCACAGATCAACCGATTTGAATGGTTCAAAAAACATTCGATTCCTATTAATAAGGGCACGTGCTGATTAGTTTTTTGGGCCAAGGCAGGTCTAACCGTGTCAAAGATACGGGGCAAAAAGTGCCAAAAATGGTGATTCAGTTTTTGAGGGAAAGGAGCGTCCGATTTCAATAATTCAAAAAACATTTCACTTGTAATGACAAATGAACTGATTTTTGGAAAGGCAGGTCTAGCGGTTTTGGAGATCAAATTGAAACTGGTAAAAATGCCTTTTGGCGGTCAAAAATGGTCATTAGACATTTGCACATCAAATTATTAGATATTTTATAGAGATTTTAATAATAAGTACAAATTTTGTTAACATTTCTATGGGTTCCGCACCCATTCATCCGTTGGACTGCAAAAAAAGTTCTAAATTTTCAAAAAAAATCAAAATATAAAAAATATGATTTTACGAAAATGTCAATTTCTATTAAAATTTTCCAAATTCTCGAAATTCTATTTTTCTTTTTGAACTTTAATTTTTGCTACGAGAATTGAGCAATTTGCTTTAAGACACGATGCCATGCACCACTAGTTAATGGCTTTTTTACATTCTGTCCTAAACCTACCACAAACTCCTATATGTAAAATTTTTTTTGCCACTCTAGATATTTTCTTGAAATACTTGACATCAACTAGTATGGAAGCAACAAAAGTATAGTAACTATTGATGTGCAATACTAAAAATAATTTGCTTGATGATTATGAATATAATCATAGTTCGAATAGTTTTATATAACCCCTTCAAAAATTTTGTTTTATGAAATAATAAATCACAAAAAATATTCTACATAAATCTATATATTTCGGTTCTCTCCTCTTTTCTGACTCTACTTCTACAACTGCCTTGTTCACAAATAAAATGGCCAGCATGAAAAGGAATTGCTTTTCACAGTTTTTGCATTGTGTATTATCCTGTATTGGAAACATACAATATAAAACCTAAAGCAATTCATTTATGCTATTGTGAATGCGGAAATGTTTGTACCAACCGAAGATTTGTGGTTTACACTATAAATATTGAATTTAAAAGATGGGCTGAATGAAAAGTTTAATAAATGATAAATGATCGAGGGTTCAGAATGCTTTCCTGGAAAAGTAGGATGCACCTTAATAATTTGTTAGGAATTTCTTATAGAGGAAAGTATGAATTATTGTCATTCATAAATCGAGTAGATCAAAGTGGTATGGTATGGTAAAGTGTTAGTAAATTTACTAATCTTGATTTATTTCAAATGACTAAATAATTAGAAGTTAAACAAGAAATGAAATTACAAACAAAATGTACATTATATATGTATTTGAAATATGCATTCAAAAATATGGATGTGTTATGGAAATTTATTAGCGAGATATACAAAACTGTTAAATGCTTTCAATGTTAAGTTGCGAACATAAAACTTATTCAATATTTCACCGACAATTACTTTTAATTAATATTTACCTTCACATTTCAACATTTATGATATTCATTTGTTTAGTACCATGTTATTGTACTCCGTGCACATAAACTAATAATTTATGCATATATATATATATATGTATATATATATATATATATATATTTATTTATTTATATTTGTATATATGCAGAGTTCATTCATATAATAAATGTTACTTTGCATTTAGATTTAATTAAAAAATATATAGTAACATATTCTACATATTCTTGATGTGTGCCGCATGTATAAAAATGAATAACGCTTTCATTTAATATATTTAATTTAAAATTTTTTCAATAATAATCCTTGAATAGATTGAAAAATGTATAAAGGTCAGTAAAATAATTCTCATAATCCTTATTACGTTTTGAAGAATTTGCTCTACTTTAGTTTTTCTCACCTCGGCAATTTGCATCAAAATTGAAAAGCAGCTTGTGAGAACGGCGGCGGCAATCGCGTTTAATTTATTGTAATAATATTTGCCAGTTTTGCTGCCATATAATAACAACACATTATAATAATCGTCGTACTTGTTAGTAAGCTCAAAAAGCCCACACAAAAGCCATCATTTTCGTTTCATGGTAAACTCGCACCGTCGCCGCTCTCTAAATACATAAAGACTGATGATTAAAAATTGAGAATTGAATATTACTGCTGCACACATTGGTCACGGATGTAAAATCTTATGAAATGAATAATGAGTAGGATGGGAAAATGATCTTTCGCATCTTCCAACGTCGGCGCGAGCTTATAATCCGAGAGCTCGGTCCACGATGGAAGCTGGAAGACAAAAATTGACAAGATCGGACATCATTTCGCGGGCAATATCGATATAAAAATCTGGAAACATTAGTAAACTAGTATTTAGCAAAATGACTATCAATATAATATCATAATTAATACCAAGAGAAGGAAAACATGAATCTTATTCCTCATATTGTATGTGAGACTTATATAAACTTGAATATACATTTGTTTTTATACTGACTGAAAATTTAATTTTATAATAAGTAAGTACTTTTCTCTCTAATGTGTATTTTCGCAATGTGTAAATTTATTGTGATTAATATTTTTTCTATTTTTCCAGAGGTGTAAAGAGAAACTGAACACCCTCGCGATCTCTGTGATGAACCAGTGGCCAGGTGTGCGGGTGCGAGTGACCCAGGCCTGGGACGATCTGGGTCGACACCAGCCCGATTCGCTACATTACGAGGGACGGGCTGTCGATATCACGACATCCGATAGAGACAGGTAGGTTGATAATCGAATTATTTTATAAATGGACTTAAAGCAGTGAAACTTTTGGTTTTAAACTAAAGCGTGTATAATTTTAATCATGCATGTTTGTCTAATTTGTTTAAGTAAAGAGAATTTATTAACGTCTATTTTTTAAATATATTTTCAATCTATTGATTTATTTTTAAGATATTACAATCATTTATGTCGAATGTTTTTACATCTCAAAAGCATGCTATAATGAGTTTTCAATGTTTCAGATCCAAATATGGTATGTTAGCCCGTTTAGCCGTCGAAGCAGGATTTGACTGGGTTTACTACGAAAGCAGAGGTCATATACACTGTTCAGTTAAATCAGGTAATTCAATTATATTTTACGATTCTGTTTACGCAAATACAAAACACTGAATTAATTTTTATGAACGGAAAAATTAAAGTTGTAGCCTCACATGATGAAGCAATCTCTAAACTGAAGCATGTTGTTTATGCCATTCATTTTTGCATTTCATTATTTAATATTTGTTGTGAATTATTTTTTAGTACGACAAATTATCATATTAATCCAAAATATTTTTCCTAAGATAATTCTCACGCATCGCCAAACTTTGTTTATTTTCGCAAAAAATATTCCCCACAGGTACGTAAAAGAGCATTCCCGGAACATTGCTAAAAAATCCAATTTTCTTAATCTCTTTGGGTTTTAAATAATATTTGGCTAACAATATAAAAACTAAACGGATTAAATGAGCTCAAGTTTAAAGAAATGTACTAAATCTTCCCGAAGCACCATGTCAAAATTAAGTCTAACATGAGTCTTAAAGTTAAGCTCGGTCATGTTTAAGTAAATAATTGAGAGAGGAGTGCTTTACATAACTTTTATGCTTCGTAGAATAGGATTTGAATTTTCATAATCTGCGTACAAAATATACGTAAATATATATTTATTACCATTAATTGATTGATGAGCATTATATCATTTTATCAAAGTAGTCACTACCTGACTACATGGCATACAATGTTCGAATTCGATTCGAGTTTCACTGAAGTTTTAATGCCTTTTTTATCTCGAAGAATCGAACTGCCTACCCTTGCACATAAATTAAAAAGCCTTCTAAAGTTCCTCCGCCTACTTAGTTCAAGATATTTTATCAGGTATATGAATCGGGCGCCATTTCATTTATATAATTTGTAATTAATTCCGTAGCAATGGCGGTCTTTCCTTTGGTAAAATAATAAGAAATGGGAATTGAATTTGGGAGATCATATCTGCAAATATAATTCTATTTTTTGCAATAAAATTAAATATTTGCATTAGGTCATAATGCTAGTTCATAAAACCATACCATTTATTTATTACAATATTTCACATGACAAACAACCATTAAAATATTTAATAAATTATTATTGTCGCAAAAGGAAACATAAATCGAAAACCCAAAAATTAATAACAATTATATGACCAATGCGATAAATATCTCAAACTAACTGAACAGAACCACGTTGTTTTAAATCGATAATGACTTCTGATAAAAGAAATGATTGAAATATGCTCGATCATTTTAATAACAGAAAACATTAAAGCATTATAACGCTGCTTTCGATTCGATAACAAGTTTTAAAGAATTTTAAACAATTTATTATTCAGCTATTTGATCACGATAACAATATTGTTTTCGCGTTTATTAAATGCGATGTTTAATTTTCATGGCGGCCAATGCGAACTAATTTAATTTTATTTATTTAATCGTAATCTGTAATGGTTTTGCAAATGCAAGCTGTTTAATACTTTGGATAAAAATTAGCTTTTACTGCCGAGTGAATTATGAAAGAATCGAATGAAAATAAACGGTGGCTCATAAAATTTATTAATCGATACAAGATTGAATTGCGCGTAGTAGGGAGAAAACATGAAAATAATAATAGATTAAAATTTTTCTTTAATTAGTTGAATGCATCGCTTTTTGACAGTTTGCTACTGCGAACTCACACGAGTATAATTCCGTAATATATCAATACCATAACATTTTTATTATATACGACAATTGGCCCTAAGTCAGTTTAAATAGAATACAAGAATACTAGTCATAATTATTTCATTCTCGACCAAAGATTTTGTACAATTTTTATTGAACCATATTTTATTTCCAGAATCATCTCAAGCGGCAAGATCAGGAGGCTGTTTCCCAGGAGATTCGACAGTTCTGGCAATCTCTGGAGAAAAGCGCAAACTATCAGATCTTCAACCAGGTGAGCAAGTTCTCACCTGGGACTCCGAAAGCGGAACACTTCGCTACAGCGAAGTGCTTTTATTCCTGGACCGAGATCCAATAGATCGACGCACTTTTCTACAATTGCATACGATACAAGGGCACACATTAACACTCACAGCGTCGCATTTGGTCCCTGTGGGGTCCAAAAATACTAGCTCGAATATCACAGGGTATAAAGAAGTATTTGCGAGAAAAATAAAAGAAAACGATCTCGTGCTGGTGCGGAACGAGCGCGGCGAGTTGACGCCGGACGTCGTAAAACGCATCAAGTACGTGCGGCGAAAAGGAGTTTTCGCGCCTCTGACTGCTACGGGCACCGTAGTCGTAGACAACGTAGTTGCATCCTGCTACGCCGTCATAGACAGTCAAACAACCGCCCATTGGGCGTTTGCACCAGTCCGATGGTACTACAAACTCAAATCCATGATTGTTGGACATAGTGACCAAATTCTTAAAGAAGAGTTTAGGATACGAAGTTTGAGGAAAAGTAGTACAGGAGTTCATTGGTATGCGAGTGCTTTGCATTCTGTTGCCAGATCGATATTGCCAAAAAGCATGCTCTATCAGTGATCGTTCTTCAAAGACTACATAGGACTTAAAAAAGACTTTAAAGATTATAGTGGCTTTCACCAAAGTCAAATTAGGTATTTTAAAATCCTTCATATGTCATATAGTACTATTACATTATTAACTTGTTAGTGACGAAATAGAAACCACTTAAGTTGAACGCAAATTAATTCCATAGTATATTTCTATTAATCTTGATGGTGCTATACTTATAGTCAAAACATGTGAAAAAGGAATTAACACAATATAGATTTATTTACATTGTAATTTTTGTATATAACTGTAAATATTAAGTATAAGTAGGATTTTTCAATTTTAGTAATAAATTGTTATGTTTTATTAAATTATAAATTAATATAATAACTTACTAAAAATCGATGCAATAGCTGATCGAAACTTTGGTTTAATAATATAAAATGATAAATTTTATCCATTTATATTAGTAAACGTACTAAATACGAATTTTTAATTGTTACTACTCACTATAATCGTTATTTTTAATATTTATTTATTAATTGTAAAATTTAAGATTAATTTCACAACTTAAACCAGTCTCAATACTATATTTTGTAAAATTGAGGGAGCATAATGAAATCCAAGACGTCTTTCTTTAAAAAAGCAGTTAAATGTGTATTTAGTGCTAAGATTGAGGAAATTTAGTATGGCCAGTGACAAACGTGATAATATCTTATATCTTTTCGTTTACATAAAGACAAAATAATTAGTAACTATGTCTTTAATCGAAAATTGAGCGTGTGAGATGCATCAAAGATGCAAGAAAATAACTTGGACTTCTTTTAATACACAAGGTGCATTAATTTAGAAAGTCATATTAATTGATTTAAAAATATAGATGGAATCAAAAAGCCAATTTTCGGTTGTGTTAATTAACCGGCCTGATAATTTAAATTAAGTTATTCTAATCAAAGATTTTAATATAATATATTTAAAACCATATGTACTGTACTATAATTGTATTTATGCATTTATGTAAATAATTAGATATAAAATTCGATCACAAAGCTTGTAACATAATTGATAGGAATATAAATATTGCAGTATATTATAAGGACATCTGAGTAAAACTCATATTTTTTGTTGTTTTAATTAGATCATTTTCAACAGACATCTCGCCTAATATGTTTGCCATTGAAAGATGTGGATAATAATTGTATTACTGTTTTTGTACATAAATGATTACTATGATTTTAAATACATAGCTGAGAATGTTAAATATGCACAATAATGTTTTATTTAAAATATTTAGTAAGTCGTCTTATGATGAAAATGGTAACACGTACCACCAAAATTGTAACAATTTGTTCAGCCCAAAATTTGAAAAATTTCTTAAAAATTAATATTAATACTTAAAATCTGATTTACTTAGTATTTATTTAATAAAATAACATATTTTCTTTGAACGAGACAAAATTAATCGTCTTACCTTAAACAAAACAATTCAAGTTCCAATTGTGTGAAGCTCAGATACTTGGACCAAAAGCTCAGACTTTTTCTCAATTTCGTTTATATATTATCAAAATATTTTAATACTTGATTAACTTGATGATAACTACTTGCACAATTAATTTTTATCATTTTCCTAATTCCACAATGTTCATTCCTCAAAGTCCAGAGCTAAACTACTCTCAAAGTCGATCGTGATATATTCCTAATCGGATTATGTTTACAAAATTATAGAAGAAACATGCCGATTATTTTCAGGTACGTTGAATTTGTCACGTACGCCTGTTTGGAATTTATTAATCACCATTTGTTTATAAAATTGAACGTCATTAAATTATTGGCAGCCTCTTCTTATAGTGTTGGCTTATCACATAGTAACACTTATCAAATGGTGTCACCGAAATTAGTTCGGTATGGAAAGAAAGGCGAGAATCACCAGCTCTGGGGTAATAAATAATAAATAATCAAATAAAATTAATAGATATAATTTTAATTTTATATTAATAGGTAAAGATAAATAAAATTTTCAAATGGTACGATTTCTGCAAGAAAGTTTGATGCCAAGATGGAGTTACGAAAAACTTTCGATGGCAATAACTATTCAATGACAGAAATAATTGATGATGAATCATTCAAATTCTAATACTACAAAATAAAAAAAATGCATACTGGAAAAATGTTGGTAAAAATATCATAATCTAAGTGAAGTCTAAATATCTGAAACAATCACACAGGTATATATGATAAATAAATTTTAACACTAACGAAGGATGACCACTTAGGGGGCGTCCATTAATTACGTGATCAATTTTTTTTAAGGATTTTTGGACCCCCTGGGTGGTAATCAAAGTTATCTGCCTCCCGCACCCATCATTACGTGTGTTTTAGTTACGAAAAAAAATTGTAAAATTGATTTTTTTTTAAATGTTTGGATTTTTAAAAAAATCAGGTAAAAATACACGTGTTACCTCACTATATTCCTCCCTTCCCCACGTAATATTTTGTGATTTGTTGTCAACATCCCCCTAAAAACCTCACGTAATTAACGGGCGCCCCCTTAACGATCGATTGTCTTAAAATTTAAACTCAATATTATATAACATTATTAATTTTTTCCAGTTTTGTATATCAAACTTTTAATTTAAAAGGGCTATTTTGGATAGAAAACATTTTTATTCTATATTACCCTGTTAATAAATCTGATCAGACTATCTGATGAGTATTTATTAGTTTCGGTAGCAAAATACTGCACTATTTTCAAAGAAATTTTGGCAAATTTTATCAAGTGTCTCTCAAGCTTATTCTCATACAAAATGCGGATTTTGAGTTACTGTATAAAATGTAAAATATTGTCCTGAAAGGTGCTCTGTAAATTTATTAGTTTTAAATGCACTATAGACTATAGTATAAAATAGGTTGACTTTGCTTAGCAATTTAAAAAATACCATCTATTTCTATTCTATACCATCTGGTAAGGTTAGTTTTACTTGGTAATTTGAAAATTATTATTCATTTTAAATAAGTCCATTAAGTAAAAACTAGACAGTTTCAAAAAATTAATTTGGCAAATATCTATTCAACAATTGTCGTCATTGTCCATGAATTTGATATAGAAATTGGAACTGTTTTTCTTGTTTTATTTCTCATAATTGAAAGTTTTTTTGTTATAATTTATTTTTGATATTCATTAAAGCTATTAATTGTACTTATTGCACCAGAACCAATCATTATTTATTGAACCAATAATACTCATAGTGAGATTTATATCATTCAACCAATTGGTACAAATCTTTTTCAAAAATAGAGTTCCAATGAAAGTACATTAGTGAATTCACGTAACAACTTCCGATTATTGCTAATATGATACATTAGAGGATTTTTTTCATTGAAAAGTGCATGAATATATTATTTCGCAGTATACCTTTATCCTGCAAATTTTAACCGAAAGACAGAAAACCTAAGACAGTAGATTTCGTAATTTAAGAAGAATGCTGTTAAACGCCACAATATACAACTCAAGCCATCGGGAACCGGTCTTCGGCCCTGTTTAAAAATTAATAAAAACCGAAAACGGTTCCACGACACTGTCGGGTGTCGTGTGAAAGGTTAAACGCAATTCATGGGTCGACTATCGTTCTGTTCGGATCGCCATGAAGAAAAGACGGAGGAGGAAAAACGATAATAATAATAATAAATAAATATTATATATACATACTTACAAACATACATACATACAGTTGTATTTATCTTCAGGGCAATACATTAATTAAAAAATTATTACTTACTAATATATAAAATATGAAAATATGTAGAGTATATTTTACCTAACACTTAAAAAATTAAATCTAATTTTTTTTTTAATTTTAAACTTTAAATTGATTTTAAAAAAATAGTGTTGCATTGGTGTTGTGAATTATTACTATTAATATCAGTTAACTAGGAATTTTCTAATTTACATGTAAGTTTTTACACCAGGTTGCTTCTCATAAATTAGGTTTAATTAGTTTCATTTTTTATTTTTTTTTTCACTGTTACATTGTTGAGTTATTTTATATTATGTTTTTTTCTTAATTTATAGTTCACTGAAGATACCACAAGGGAGCGCCTATTAATTACGTAATCGATTTTTTAAGGATTATTGGACCCCCATCGACCTGGGTGATACGTGGTGATATTACAATCAAAATTACAGCCTCCCCTCCGTCATCAGACATTACGTGTATTTTCAGTTATGAGAAAAAATTGTAAGACTTTACACGTAATATCTTGCTATGCCCATCCTCTCCCCACATAATATTTCGTGATTTTTTAATTCAATTTTCTTTTCAAATTAAATTTTTCAGAATAGTGATATTCTTTTATCGTTAATTTCTCCTCTATCTTCACACTTCATTGCTTCGCCCCGTTAGTGTAATAAAAACTCTTACTTATGTCAAGTCATATATCTGTAAGTCTAAGTCTTCAAGAACAAAACGTAAAGTGATGTAATATTCATGACCATTTTCATGAAACAATGAAAAATATGATAATATCATAATGATGGGGGTTTTGAACTCGATCATCTCAAATACAAAAACAAGTTAAAAAAATAGAATATTTATTATAAATAATATTAATATAAATTATGGAACAGAAAGCTCCATCAAATACTGGTATCTGCAGCTCATCATCATACAGGTACTTTGTTCTTGGAATCTATTTAAGATTTCTGCTTATTGAGATAATATCTTCACTTTAGCAGAATTTTTAGATCTAACATGATCAAACTTACGATGGCATTTTTGATAAAATTCATTTGATAGCAATAGTAACTCTTGTCAATAAACTTTTTAAATAGATATTAGGTAAAAAAGAATTTTTTGATACTCAATAAGTAGTCTGAAAATAGTATATTTTTTTAATAATATCAATTTTCATGATAAAATTGACAAAAATATCGATCAATAAGAGCATATTCCAAAAAGAGATGCTACTTAAGTAAAAAATACTTATTTGCTCCTCGCTATTTTGTAAATAGTGTAGATTATTGCTATAAAAAGAGAATTATTTATAAATATTTAAACAATTCGGATAAAATTAGCCAAAATACCAAACAAGAAGAGTGTATTTCAATTTGGTTACAATGTAGTTGGATATTTACATCATAAAATATATGTATTTTCAAGATGTTAACGTAATTTCGGCTTAGATGAATCAATTGTTTTTGATTTAACTGAATCATGCATTCATGATCTCATTTCCATTAATTATAAAATTTATTTCAAGCTTCTGCCGACGAATTTAACTCATTTATGATGTCATTTCCATCGATATAAAACTTATTTCGAACTTATGCCTGCTCATGTAACAGTATCCAATAGAAATATAATAATAGAGTATCATCTTTATAGATACATTAGTTTCATGATAAGACTAAAATTGGATAGAAAAGATAATTTATTTATTTGAGCAGCAATCAGGACTTAAAATCCCTATGGGTAGTGATGATACTTCCTAACTATGTGGCTTTTAGAAAGCGAATCCACTGTTGTCCTATCTCTATTTGATATAATTTTATAGCTTAAATTTTTCTAATACTGACGATTTATTAATCTGTTGCAGCAGTGTCTGAGAATTGCTATGTTTACTGGAAAATATATTTCCATCAATATTTTCAACTGAAAATCGATGACACAACTACTTGACTTCAGGCTATCCGAGTTGAGCATTTAATTGGAAGACCAAAGCTTTAACCACTAATCCACGAGGAAGCTCATATCTTTATTTCAAATATATGTGCCTATGATAGAGTACTATGTTTACTTTTATGTTAACTATGTACCGTCTATGTTTATAATTTGGAGGCGGCAGCAATAGACAGATGATCCACTTGACATGTTTTCAAACCCGGACTTATTTTGAAAGGAGTGTGTAAATCGGAAACGGGAAGTCATTTTAAATAAAAGGATGTAAACACAGTAACAGGATTTAATTATAGTGCGAATTGATTTTAAGCATGCGTACAATTCGAAGAACCGGTGCGTGGTAAGATATTTATAAATTCAAATAAATCTTAGGATTGATCACACGCGCAGTAAATTGTAAATAAATGGAAAAGGAGATTAAATTTTGAATAAAGTTTTAATAAAATAGGACAAAAATTCCGGTAGTACAAAAATTTAATTTAAATAATTAAATTAGATAATTAAAAATTAATTAGAGATTTTTTCTTAGGTTTCATTCAATCCGCGAATTCTCCAAGATCATCCACAACATCTTTTACCCAAATCATTTCAACATTGTATCGACGCCATTGTATGATCGCAAATATGCGAAAAAAATAAATGAAAACAACGTGAGCAAAACATATCAAATACACTAGCATTGAAAAGCTTGATGTTCCAAATAACTTGACCAGGCCGAGAACTCGGCGCTTGCCTCAAACTAACCCGCGTTAACCTGCCATAACAAGGTCTTGGCGAGGCTCTTTCCCCGACGAGACGTACCTGCTCATCTGTAGTTCATAAGATGTCACGTGATCTGTTGTTTTGTTTCAGATGTTGCGGAATTAATTATTGATGTTTCTTTGATATATATGAATTATTTTAATTTTGTGAAGCTTTTGTATAACTCTCGCAGGATATGTACGATTTGTTAGGTATCTGCTTATTTTCATATTTATTTATTTAATTTGCAGAGTAGGTAATATTACTGATAACAATTTTCTAAGTCACTATTAAGTTTAAAGATTTTTCATTTTATTTGCAGAGTAATATTATAACTATGGTTTATTTAATATTTTACCCAGTTTTTGTGATTGATTTACAGCTTTGGTTGTCCATGTGATGGAACTTTATGAATTATGAAGGTATGTATGTTTTATTAATCTTTCATACTTCGCAATTCTGAGAAATTTGCGATTTTAAGAAAATATACTCGATGTCACTTTAGTTTGGTAAAATGATTGGAAATTCCAATTTACATTAACTATTACATTAAATTTTCACATTAATAGTTAATGGAAAAGCAATAACTGCTAATCATGGGATAAGATATATTTCCAAGTATTATATTTATAAGTTTCATACAACATAATCGAAAAAGAATCGTAATTGATATGCCAATATCATCTACATCTACTTTTGCGTTTTCTTGATCTAAAGAACTTTAAAAAGAAACGAAAATACATTATGTTTTTACAGAAAAAAACCTTCAGTAATTTTTAAAATACATATAAATTTTTGAGTCAAAAGTTAGAAAGGTTGGTTGCTCAGCAGTAGGCATGTTCAAATGACTTTAAAATTATTCTAAATATCTTATAATTGAATCATTTGAATTAATAAGTAAAAATAAAATTATATATATATATATATATATATATATATATATAATGATATTTTAACTTTTTGAACAGTTTATCATTAAAATTATATAAACATTCACGTTAATTTTTGTAAATAATTTGTAATAAATCTGAATTTAGTACACAAAAATTTAGATATAATCTAAATGCCCATAAAAAGCATTTTAAAATTATTTAGAAGATCAAGGCGATTTGGAGGTGCTCATAATCAAATAGTTCTCGTAGTTCTATAGTTCTCGCACTAAAAATTTCAGTATTTTCATTTAATTCTAACGCTCGTGTAATAATAATATTTTGGTTTTGAAACATTTGACTTATTTATTTTGGGAATTTTATGAGATTTATTCTATTACAAATCATAAAAAGCAAAAAAATTAGCCTCTCATAACACTGGTACTTAATATTGAATTATTTTAATTTAATTTTTTATTATATTAAATCCTAGTTAATATCGTAAGATTGTATTCAGCTATACCTTCTCATGGTGTATTAGATTGTAGTTTTAAAGTTTAAAAATATTGTTTAAGATAAGCAAAAGATGCAAAGAAAAGCAAAATAACAAACAATAAGTTTTTTCTGTAGATAATTAATTACGACATTTTGGAACTAGGTACGTTCTAGATCAGGTTCTTCTATCATGAAAAAAATTTAAATATAGAATAACAATGTTAAAGTTATAAATAATTAATCAATATCATTATTATTGTTATTCTGTATTTAAATATTGTTGTTGACAGAAGAACTTGATGATGGAACATACCTAATTCCAAAACGCCATAATTAAACATTTACAAAAAAACTTTATTATTTTTTATTTAATGGATTAATTGTTCAGCTAAGAAACCCTCATCAATTTATTAAAAAATCCAAGAAATATAAATTGAAAATTTATGTATGTATATATATAACCTACTATTGAGAAAAAATTAGGAAGAAAATGTAGAAAATATAGGAAAAGTCGAGATACAAGACACAAAAATATGGAAGCTATGATATGTTTTGGTATTTTTAAAAATATAATCTCATTAACTGTTGTTTAAAAAAAGTTTTATCTCGCATGCTACAAAATTCTAATTATAAGAGAAAAAAGGGGTATGTATATATTGGGTGTGTTTCACCTAATTTAATTAAAATTGGGTGAAATAAATTCTAAAATTATTAATTCGTAATTTTTTTTAATTAATTTTTTTTCTTTAAAATCAACTTGAATGTTGAAAAATTCCGATGACTCCACTAGTTCCTTAAAATTTACCATAATCTTGTATCATGTATCAAGAATTAATCATGTATCAAGTTTCAAAATCAATTCCGTTATCTATTTTAGCACCTGATCTAAAGCTTTGCAAATAGCTCCTGAAACTTTAATCAGAAGACTAAACGTCACATCTATTACGGCAGCTCGCTCATCTCTTTCTTCGGAACGAAAACTAGTCTTTCTCAAGACGACCAATCAACTCTTCGGGACGACGACGACGGAGGGGCACAACGTGCACCGGAACATAGGTATTTGGACATTTAGACGAATTTAGTTACTTCTTGACACCCCTTAGTGCAAACACGGCGAAAATAATAACAGTCAAGTGATAAAGGATACATGAGAAAATTTAATTTAATTGGATTACTTGATAAATAGAATAATAACAGTAGTGATTGATCAGTGCACCATAAACCCAACCAAATGTGTTATTTCAAATTATACTTATTTTTTTTTAATATTTTAGTTAGCTCCTAACACAGACTAGTCACCATATCAAAAACCCTAGTGAACATTAGTGCTCAAATCAGTTTACTCAATCATTTACTACCATGGAGTTCTATATCCTCATCTTACTATTATTGTGCAGTGTCCCCACATCTTACACCTGTGGTCCAGGAAGATTATCAAATTGGAGACGTTACCCCTCCTCCAGACATGCGTCCAAAAAGTTGGTGCCAATGGTGCTTTTTCAAGAATGGCCAGATGCAAGCGAAAATGCCCTAATTGCTAGTGGTCCTCCTGAAGGACGAATTATGCCTAATGATACTGAACGCATGAAAGACCTCGTGGTCAATTATTCGCGGGATATTGTTTATAAGGATGAAGAAGGCACTGGGATTGATCGGTTGATGACACAGGTAAATTGTAATGGATTTTTGTAGTTAAGATTTGATTGTAAAAATAGTTATTTGTAACCCTAACAGTGGGATCGTCGCCTATAGGCGACATTTGCTTCGTGACTTGTGTCTACTAGTGTTGCTTATAGATGACATCCAATTTGTAGACTTTTGCTTTAATATGAATCACCACGTTCAATTAATAAGATCCCTAAATCATTATTATAATATTAATTTTTTAGTGTATTTTTTTATTTGCAAATACATTTTAACGACAAAGATTGTTTTTTTTTTTAAATACGTTTTGTACCAAATTCTTGGGCGGCTTTCCGGCTTGTACAGCAGTGTCATTCCTGCCAAATATAATATCGGAGCAAAAGGGTTATTATCATACAAAATATTTTAATGAAGAATGACTTATCTTGTGAAAATATATAACTTTGTTCAAGTTTGTATCGTTGGTAATTTCAGCAAGTTGTTAGATAAAATTATTACCATCTATAATTAAACAAATTTACAATAAGCATTTTATGGTGATGAGACAAACGGTCTCGAAACTTTTGTAATTTAGTACTTTATGAAAAAAATTATCACAAAACAAGTCATTCCACTTATAAAACATACTCGTATATCTACTATTTCCAGATTCTGAATCTTAATTTTCCTTTAACCCAAAGTCAAAATATCTTTTACCCAGTTTCATCTTCTCTTATTCCGGAAACCAGAATTAGTCTCGAACGTTGATTTTAAATAACATGAAGTACACATATTTGTAAAATATTTGGGACATGCGTTTATAATTGCCAAAAGATAAATGAAGTCGAAGGTAAATATTGTCACGGTGAGGTAGCTGTCAAGAAAACCATTCCGAACGTACCCAGTTTTTTTTCTTCTATAGGGTTGTAAAAGCAGACGCGTTAAAATTGCAAGTACTTCTTGAATAAACTTCGAGGTCGTTTTTCGAGCGTGGTAATTTGATTTATGTATTAGCTACCTATTCAAGATTTTATATTTGGCTATTGTGTGACGCGAAGCAAACTTGTAGAGTAATAGAAAATTTTTTGTCAAATATTTTTTAGCTTGTATGAAATAAAAAAATAGTTATTACACAAATCTCCCATAAATTATACCTTTAGTATTATTTTTCACGTTTATTAAAACATTGTCTGAAATCTTGGAAAATATTGTTTTATCAAATAAACAATTCGAACGAATATTAGTAAAATAATCTCAATTTTAGAAAATAATTGTAACACTATTCTAACATACATGATCTTTAACATATAGAATATTTTTAAGAATCAAAAATAAATGTGATAAAAAATTATACTATAGTTCTCCGAATCTTTGAAGATATTCAATCACAATGAAATAATTCATTACTAGTAGAACGGCATAAAAGGTAAAAGTAATTCAAGTAACAAATAATTAAATAATAGACTGAATTAACATATTCCGCAAATAGCAATAAAATAATTTATAACAATATTTTGTAAGCTTCAATGTAATTTCTATGAAAAGTAGGATAGTTTACGTATAGAAAGTCAATAAATATTTGAGATATTCTAATAACAATTTTTTTAAATATTGATAGGTCAACCATTGGGTTGCCTTAAAAAAAAGCCACGTTATTAAAAAGTCATCACAACAAGCTTATAAGACTATTGAGTTCTGATAAAAAAATAAATAAATATTTGTAACTCTACTTAGATACAGATGGGTCGACCATTGGGTTGCCTTAAAAAAGATGTCATTACAACAAACAATCAGGACTATTAAGTTCTGATTGCTGTTATTGATAAAGAAATAGATAAATATTCGTAGCTTTACTTGAATATAGATAGGTAAACCATTGGGTTGCCTGAAAAAATGCTACGTCATTAAAAAGTCATCACAACAATCAATCAGGACTTTTAAGTTCTGATTGATAAAAAAATGGATAAATATTCGTAACCTTATCAATGATACCATTCTTCTTGAAACTTAATATAATATTAAAATTAGACAAAAATCTCTTATTTAATATATATATATATATATATATATATATGTGTGTGTGTAAATATGAATGACGTACATAATTGAGATGGAAATTAAACCAGAAAATTTATTTGAATTCATGTATACTAAGTATTTTGAAAACATCCACTAATAATAATGATGGTCCAATTATTTATACATACTTATGCATTTTGTTGGTCTGATAAAATTAGTATGTAGGGAATAATTAAAATTGAATCATTTTTTATGGACATAAAATGCATAAAAGAATTTCATAATATTGAACTGATTCTGTCATGTAGATTTTTCCACATGACTGTGAGATATTAGTTTCTACTGTTTGTAGAAAACCCAATATCTCACAGTTGTTAACCGATTTGATTGATTTAATGGCAAAAGCAAAGCGCCTCCAACCCAGATATTCCAAAATCTACGATCCCATTACATGTACCTCTTACCTTTTTATCTCTGGACCACCTACCCGAAGGCTTTTGATTTCGGCCGCTTTTGTCGGTTGACCTGTCACAACATTTTCTAATTTGAACGCAACCTGCAAGATAAATCGTTATACAGTTTTAAAAAGCAAAATAGAAAAAAATAACCAGATACGAAAATCAAAATTTCCCGCAGAGTTTGAGGAGATTGGAAAGTAAGCCGCTTTTGGGATTTTAAATTTGACTTATGCGGTTATTTACTGTCACAATATGATGGTAAGGATAATAATATATAGTAGAAAAATAAAAAAAAATAAGTTGGCTAATTTTTTTGGTTACGCTTGTGTTTTTACTTAATTTGGACCTAAACAATAATGGACCATAAATAAATTTAGTAAATACTATAAGTACACACCGAAATCAATTTTTAACTTCCAGAAAAAATGTTTATGTTTTTAGCAAAAAATCCGATTTGTGTTCTTGACAATTCAAGTCATTTTGAATCGTTTAAGACCAATTTGGAACAACAATGTGACAAAATTTGACTTTTTTGATATCTGGCAAACAAGTCCAAAATATTTCTTCCACGTTTTACACAAAAATCCGGAATCAACTATAAAAATTTAGATCTGATCGAAAGATATCAGTTAAAGATCGTGCTGATTAATTTTTGCTAAACATCGGCTGGGCTGTTTCTTCATAATTAATTGCTGAATTTTTTTACGATTTTAATTAACCTTTGTATGATACTAGTTAGTCTGAAGAAACATCCTAAAATATCTATTCTAGGAAAAATGTATTAATTATGAAAAATTATTAATGTGTAAAATAATGAACTATGTCAAAATTTTAAAATTTCATCGTCTTAATTTTAAAACTTGATAAATTTAACTTATTATTATTAAAGCAAATTATTTACACAGGAAGGTTGGCTTAAGCCAAAATGCCACTAACACCTAGTTTACAAAAATAAGTTTGTAAATTTATTATTATTTTTATTTACATATAAAATAATTTTTACATATATTTATTTATTGTCATGTTCGATACGATGATTTTAAATCATGTTTATCAAAGTTAGATTACATAAACGACCCAATATTTCTAGAAGCAATTACATTGCAATTATTATCAGAAAATTATGTATGCATAATTATAATATAAATTTATGATTCTGCAATTAGTACATCATGACTTTTTTTTATCTTCAAAGAAATAATAGATGCAGGTCAGTTCAAAACATTATTTATGAAACCAGCAATAAAATCTATGTTATATGTTATTGAATATTCGTTCGACATTGTTCTCCGGATTGTTATTAATACAAAAGACGGACTCCATATTGTCAATAATATCTTCTGAATACAATAATTATTATGCGTATAATATAATTTCATAACACCTACGAATGGATAATAGAAATTTATTTGTTATATTTCTAATATTTCAACTACTACCTTGGAGTTGACGACCGCAATAAGAACACAATAAGACTGAATTACACAATATGAAAACACACTGACATCAATCACAAATCAACATAAAGCACTGAATAAAATTCTGGAAGAACTTGTGCACCTGAAAGTGAATCTTGGATTTAGGTTACCTGATTAGAAACAAATGCAGCGCCAAGAAGGTTGACTAAAATTCGAATTTATAATAAAAATTAAGTGGGAAATTCAAATATGATAAAAAGTTTATTCTATATTTTCACAATTCATATTATCTTTGAAGCAGAAGTGTTCTTTTTTTTTTGAAATGTTGCAACTGTTTTTATAATATCAAGTAAACAAATAACAGAATTAATTCTAAAAATGTATTATACTATAAATTATTTAAATGAATGTCTATAGACTAACTAAAGAGTTTTTATGAGAATCTTATAAATATTTTATCATGTATTTGATCTTAATAAAGGCATTGTATTATATTTAACTTACCTGCATGTATCGCTTGTAACTAAAGTTTCTTAATTAATTTTTAATTATTTTTGCAGAGGTGTAAAGAAAAATTAAATATCTTGGCCATATCGGTTATGAACCAGTGGCCTGGTGTGCGGGTACGAGTCACCCAATCTTGGGAAATTGAAGAAGGCCGCAGGCCACCAGGTTCCCTGCACTACGAGGGCCGGGCTCTCGATATCACCACATCTGATAGAGACAGGTAAGATATAGAATTTTAAATAATATATAGTAATATTTCGTATTGAAATCAGTGAATTTATAGATTTTTATTGTTTACTTTAGATCAAAATATGGCATGTTGGCACGATTAGCTGTGGAAGCTGGATTCGACTACGTTTTCTATGAAAGTAGGGGCCACATTCACTGTTCTGTAAAATCAGGTTAGTAATTATTCAAAATTATATATATATATGTATATATGCACTAATTAACGATTTAATCATGCAATAAATATTTCGATAATAACCCAAACACTTATGTTATCGATTAGCAATATGTAATGTTGTTTATGCAAACCCAATTATTCTGAAAGTAAACTTTGATTACTCACAACTCACAACTATATATTTAGTAGATATTATATATAATTCATGATTACGCAATAGTTTGTGTAATTTTAGTAAATTAGCTTTCAAATTAGCATTTTATATTAACAAATATAAATACGATATGAGTAATCGTAATAAGCGTTAAACATACATGCTTTAAACGAATTTAAGCATTATAAGAATTTGCACTAAAATTTTAAGAATTTGTTAAAAACTTTTATATGAACATGCACGACATATTTATGATTTTTTTTTCATTTTTTCTATAAAATCCTTAATTACTTTAAACTTTATTATATATTTAACGCCCATGGCAATAATACATTTGAAATATATCTTGCAAAGAATAAACTAAAGGTAAAAAAAAGATAAAAATTAAGAAAATTATAATAAGCTATGAAATTATATAACACTTTAATCTACAAATCACTATTCATAGGGGGCGTCCATTAATCACGTGATCGATTTTTTAAGGATTTTTAGACCCCTCCTCTCCCATGTTTGTGAAAATATACACTCTAATAGTTTTTGCACTAAATAATATTCAATGTTTAAAAATTTATACCAGTTGTACTATATACAGTTAAAGACTAAAATTTCAGTATAGTCTTTCTAGAAGTATATATTATAAGTGTACATACTAGAATTTTATTGGTTTTGAAGAAATTAGTTAAGATTTTTACAACATTTTAAAATTTTGTCCATCTGCAAAAACACTTGCAAAATATTCTCAATATAAAAATATTCTCGTGTTAAAAAAATTATACTGGCTGTACTATATCTAGTTAAGGGCTGTAATTTTAGTATGTTATTGCCAAAAGTACAAATTTTAATATTACATTTTAAATTTTTTAAGTTTTGAAGAAAATTATATTTTTTTTTAAATTTCTGCAAAATAAGTTCGCTCCATATAAGAATTTTTGCGTTAAATAATACTCGGTGTTTAAAAATTTATATAAGCTGTACTCTATGTAGTTAAGGACTATTATTTCTGGGTGGTAATATTCAAAATTATCCCCATCCCCCATTGAGAAAAGTCGTATCTTTAGTTACGAGAAAAAATTGTAAAATTTTTACATTTTTTTTTCGAAAATGTTTGGATTAAAAAAATTCAAGTAAAAAATAAATACACGTGCTACCTTCCTATAACCCTCAGGCCCACGTGATATTTTTTGATTTTTTGTCAACACCCCCCTCCCCATGAAAACCTCACGTGATTAATGGACGCCCCCATAATAGGAGTTACGGATAAATTTCTTAGCTTTACCTTTAATCATATTTACTAACTGTCTAAGCCTAAATCCAAGCTTCAGGAGCGAATTCGCGCCAAATAAACCAATGTTTTATATAAAATTGATACCGGCAATCAAGTTAGCATGTTTTTAAAATTATATATTCAACAGTTTTTGACCAAACATTGAATATTCTAAATATTATATTTTATCCCCAGAATCACCTCAAAATGCTCGTTCTGGTGGCTGCTTCCCAGGCGATTCATTTGTTCAGACGTCTGACGGCAAGCGGCGCAAGTTATCTGAACTCCAAACCGGTGAGCAAATTCTCACCTGGGATTCCAAGAGCGGCACACTTCGTTACAGCGAAGTTCTCATGTTTCTGGACAGAGATCCTTCCGATCGGCGTAGTTTCATACAACTACACACCGCAAAAGGATTCACCTTAACTCTCACACCTTCCCACCTTGTCCCGGTGGTAAATGAAGTTGGTAAGAACAATATCACTGGATCCAAAGAAGTATTTGCTTCAAAAATAAAATTAAATGATACAGTTCTGATACGGGATAAGGCTGAGAATTTAGTACCTGATACCGTAAAAAGCATCAACTACGTCCGACGAAAAGGTGTATTTGCACCACTCACTGTCACTGGTACAGTGGTAGTAGACAATGTGGTTGCTTCTTGTTATGCTGTTATTAATAGTCAAAAAACAGCCCATTGGGCTTTTGCTCCTATCCGATGGTATTATAGGGTCAAATCAGTCTTTGTTGACCCTGCAATTTCTTCTACCACTAATGAAGAACGTAATTCTGGTACCAAAGGTGTTCACTGGTACGCCAAAGTTTTGTTGAGATTATCGAGAATGATTCTACCAAAAAGCATGATGTACTATGATTATTAAAGATCATGGCGAATATACAGTATCACTGTAAATGCAATAAGCAAATAGCAATCACAATTGGTTTATTGAGTAGGCAATTCGATAACTTCACACATTGTGGCTTCATTGAAACTCTAAAAATATTTATTTTAAAAAATTTGAGTACTGAACGTATAATCAAAGAAAGAAAGCTTCATGTAATTGGCACACGGAAAAAACATTACGCTTAAGGTAAATTGATATTTTATCAAATATTCAAACTTTCTATTGCGTGCATAAATATAAATTACTTTTATGTACAGATTAAGCCATTCATATAATAATTATTTTTTTTATTTTAGGTCTGAAAAGAAATTAAATGATTTGGTGCATATATATTCCACCAAATCTGCATGAATCGCACGCTAAAGAATGATGAAACAATTTTGTGGACATCAGTATTAGGTAAATACACTAAACAATAAATATTCATTTAATTATATACCTAGAATTTTCTGAATATAATTTTTAATTATTTATTTACCTTTTCAGAATGAACAGCGAACTCCAAAGAAATGCAAGAACCTCAATTTAGTCCATCTATTTGAATAACTTTTACCAATTTATCTACAATGTGATATTTAAACCTGTGATTAAAATGATAAAGACATATATAACTACTATATATTATTTATTAAAAATAAATAAAGCTAATTTATAAAATTATCACTTTAAGAATATTATTATGTGCATTTGTTGGCAGTGCCAAATTTTATCCACATGTCAATTATAATATTAACACATAATTTTTGTGAAAAGTTGTGTATATATTAAATATCTTTTATATAAATATTGAGTTTGTATTTAAATTTATTCCTTATAAATACTTAGTACTAAATAAAAAAATAAAATTAAACTTATTGCTAAATTTTAACAAATTTTTGGACTTGTTTATAGATATATCTTAATGATTAGTGTTTACGTGACTTTATTTATAACAGTTCTAAAATAATAAATTGTACTTATGTATAAATATGCTTTTAAACCTTAGGTGCAACATTCCATCTTGTAAATTTATTAGTAATAAATTTGGATTAAATCGTTGTAGATAGACTAGCATTAAAAATTGCATAAATATTAAAATTATCATCAAAATTTGTTTATTGTAGTTTCTACAAAAGAGTAAAAACTTGAAGGTGTAAACGAAAGCGTAGACAGGTAAAAGAGCGCTTCGGGCGATTTTATATATCTTTAATAAAATATCCCGACATGGTAAAAATAAATATATTATAAAGAGGGAATTGATTGTATGAGACTCCTATTCAAATAGAAGTTACTTGATTTGAATAAAACTATGAAGACCAATAATGAGAACAATTTTATAGTTTGATTTTATATAACTCGGCTATTAGCTGATCTGATCAAATCAACTATATCACTAATAAATATTGCTCCGTAATTTTTAAACAAAATTAGTGTGACTTTATATTAAGTGAACTTTTGATACTTACTAAATAATATCAAATATACAACTGCGAAATGGATGTCGCATTGTTAATGTTTGTACTAAGACAGATGCTCATAAGAATCCATTTCCGACGACATAGGCAGGTATAAGACCTTCCTTGCCTTCTCGGTTTCTTATATGAAACCAATTCTCACCATCTCTTGCCCTGACTGTTGATACTAATATTACTACATCACCTTTAGTTAATTCTAAACCACTATGCTCGTCTGTATATTCTTCACAAACGGCTAACAAGGTATGTCTTAAGCAGGTGTTTGAATTTTCTTCCGGTAGTGGTTTAGTTTTACATGTTTGTGCTACTTTGGATGTATTGGGCGCATATTCAGTGGAACCTGCAGCCTGAAAAAATAGATAACTGTTATAATAAACTATATATGTACATTATAAAAAATTAAAATTTTTAATTTAGTCATTTATTACCTGCAGAAATAGGCGATCAACGCTACTTTCGCGGGCTAGCGTCCCGTTTTCTCGGCAGAGTGATCTAGTGCCGCGTCTATGTCGTTTTTCAGGGTTTGTCGACCTTTTTCGACGCGTCGTCGTGCCGCCACATTCCGACCGAGTGCCGCCACGAAGGTGATGCTCCTTTTCGCTGTCGGTTAAATTACCGCAGGGCAAAGGAAAAACGTCGACTGTGCTTTCCCAACATGGAGAAGTTTTACCACTTGAACTATTATTTCTACTACAATAATAAATGGTATAAATTATTATTATTAACAATTTAGAGCTTACAATTTTTTCAGGTATATTACCTTTTTTGAGTAGGCAATATTCCTAAGGGCAAGCAAGACCCGTGATTGATATATCCCTCTTCTGCATGCGGGGTTTGAACATACAACCAACTACGATTTTTAAATACTGCATTCACAACCATTCCCAAAGGTAATTGGATTTCTTCTTGAAATCCTCCGGGTCGTGTTCGATAAAGAACACTCGGGCAACCCAACACCACCGGGATATTTGCAGGATTTTCGAGGCAGGCCTAAAGTATAACTGATGTTAACTCCAAAATTATTAATTTGAAATTATATATTATTTAAATTTTACAAAGTCCTACGTACACTTGTCAAAAAGTCATTAATGTCACGAATTTGGTAACCAAATCCGATTCTTGATTTATCCTTCTTCCGTCTGTGTTTTGTTGACTTTTTGCTACAATTTCCCGTTTCTGATATACTATCTGAGTGTAAATCTGGTTCAGAAACAGCTTTACTTTCCAAAGAACTGTACTGATTATTATTATTCATACGCCTGAAAATTAATTCATATAAGTAACAAGTTTAAGAATCGTGGTCATGCAAATAATGAAGCAATGCAAACAAACTACTATTTCTATCAGATATTTATTCAGAGTATCAACTTTATGTTGAAATACCTTTGATGTTCGTTCGAATATTTCTCATTCTTCTTGCTTCTCTCTTCATTTGTATTGCATTTAAATGGACCATTTCTAAAAGTGTTTGTGTTAGATATTGATTGCATTAAAGGATCTTTCATAGATTTATTTGACGCATTATATAAATCGTTTTGCTGTTTGTTGTTGAGACGATCTGTCCAATTCCCTTTTGAGAAAGTCAGATTCTTGTCGGTGTTAGAATCACTAAAAAATCAATAAAATTACTATTTAGTGATAATAATCAGCATATAAATAATATATTATATTTAACTTGTATGAAGAAAATTATAATTCTATAAGATAGTTACCTAACATTATTGCAAGATGCCCTGATGGCCCAACTCAGAGATACATTAGACCTCTTCGGTTGTTTTCTTGGTACGTGATGACCAGGATTAGATGTTACATTTGCTGATCTAGGACGCTGAGGATGCGTGCAGGCTGCAGATACTCTCTGACCCATGTCAGGCCCAATTTGGGCTGGATTGGAAGCATTCGCTTCGGTAGAATCTTGATCTTGGTTTGGAGTAGCAACACCTAAATTAGTAATATTAACTTACCAAAAAAATATAGAATATTCATTTGTCATTTATAATTGATATCTTACTATTGCATTGCCGAACAATGTCAGGTACCAAATAATCTAATCTATCAGGAACGCTAATATAAGCTGCTGGCTGTGGTCGTTGGACAACCGCCGGCGGAGATCTATAACGAGGCGGCGGCCTCCTGCTCCAACGGCCCTCGTTGTTTTCTGGGTCCTCCTCACTGCTGCTTTCGGAGCTGGACTCACCGCTGCTCAAATAACGAGAAGCAGGGGTTCGAAACCTCCATTCGGCAGGATTAACACGGGCATCTATGGGTTGATTTTGGGGTTGACTTCCATTGATTTGTTGATTCTGATTTGCAGGACTAGTATTGGTTTCTGATGTAGTTGGTGCTTGAACTTGTGATTTTCCTGGAGAAATTAAATTAGGTTACTAATTGGTACAACATACAGAAAGTAGAAACATCAATGCATACTGGCATGCACAGATTTCTATATTTGCTTTTAGGTTTAAAACAGATTGATAAACAAATTATATTCAAAATCTCTGCATTTTTATTTATTTGGATACATATAATGATTTTATATTTATTATTTTAAAAGGTGAATAAAAAATATACTTATGATAACCATAACTTTAAAAAAATCCAAAATAATTAGATACAACCGATGTTAATTGTAAAATAGTATGTTACTAATTCTATAAATTGAAACAATTGATAAATATAATAAGTTTTTTTAATAATTTTTAAATAACTTACAAATTTGATATTTAATTCTTGCATCTTACTATCCTAAACTGCTCTCTGGCACATTTCTCATTTTTGGTCAAAAATACAATATTTTGACATTAATATTTATAATAAAATTAATTTAATGCAATCAATAAAATTTTTTAAATTCATATGGGTAAGATTTCAAAAAATTAATACAGCAATATAATTATCCAAAATATGTGCCACAAATACTTGCTTTACTAACGTCCTCTAATAAATTTTTAAGTCATAAAAGCATTTTTGCAAATATATGTAAAATAGTCAATATAAGTAATTTTAAATTTTAAGTTCACATGCAAAATAATTTAAGTAATATAATTATTCTAAATCTTGTACCACTTATACTGCCCTTGCTGCTCCTTGGCACATTTCTTATTTTTGTTTACAAAAATATGATCATAACAAAATATACATAAAAAATATTAAAAAATATTAAATATAATTTAATATCAAATTTTAAATATTTGTGCTCAGTATTTAAATTAATTAACTAAACAAATATAATATAATTTTCCCAAAATTTGCACCACAAATACTATGGTTCCTATGGCACAGTTGTCATTTATGTTAAAGAAGAAGAATTTGATAAAAATGTGAATAATATAATTAATAATTTTTATTATATGAAAATATAATATTTTATATTTATTTTAGAATATTTATAATATTTTTTAACACAAACAAATAAGTTTGAATTTCAATTGTAATTAATATTGGTATATGGATCAACCTTGCATCAAAGCCTATTTTATGTAATTAATAATAATGCCTAAAAATTAAAACCGACCGATGGTTATGAATATATAATATATTTATAAGCGTTAATCAACGATAATTAGAATATTGTGCGTTTTTATTTGCGACTGACTCTAGTATGCGGATCTTGCATTAAAAATAGACAAATAAATAGACGCACTTGGATTTGCATTAAATGATTTAATCGCCAGGAATTGCTTCTTGTATATTGATGTCAATAAATAAACAATATTGAAGTATGTTAAATTATTAGCAGACGGTTCAATAACTGTTACAAGCTGATTTGCAGGAAATGCAAGTGTTTAAATAAATATCAAATTATAATGCTAATTATGCTTCTGCCGCAGACATAGGCGACCACATGAAATAAAAGAAGTAGAAATACAGTATCCAATAATAATAAAATTATTGGATAATTAATTATTATTATATGTTGATAAAAAACTCAGTTAATGCGTATTACACGCTGATACAATTTTATTTTTGCTTTAACTGTAATTATCATTAAAATAATTATATTACATTTTGCAGCGTTAATTGGCAATAAATTATTAATTAGTAGTTAGAAAATTTTAATATTTTTAGCTGATAATTATAGTTAATTTATTCAATATAATGGCAAAAATAAATTAAAATCTATAAGAGCTAAATTATAGACTGCCCGTACATATCAGTAGATTGAATCATGTCAAAGTAAATATTTATATTTCTCAAGTCTTTATAATTTCAATCCTTACCTTTATCAAAATAATAGCTTTTCTAATATATAATGTCCCAATATATATGAGCACAAGTTTTCACTTAATTACACAAAACCAATGTTAAGTACATAAAACAAGAAAACTATACATATATAAATTTTTAATGCACTTTCTATAACTTTCACAACACAATAAAATAATAATTTATATATATATATATATATATATATATATAAAATAATAAATATAATCTTTGATTTTTTTTTTTATTTTTACCGTTTTGTAAAGAGACATTTGCACCAAAATTTGCGTATATTTAATTAAAATACAAAGAAATAGGAATTCAGATAAATTTCACCACAATCTTTGGATATAAAAAAGAATCTTATATCCAAAATTAATTTTGAGATTAATATCTAATAATACTTGAATTAGCACAAAAATAGAAAACATGTAAATATTCTTACTAAAATATTTTATTACTAGCGATTTGAAGTCGTTCTAAAATACCATTTTCCAATATTTTCAAATTATTTTAAAATACCATTTGAATCGTAACGAATTATAAAAATTTGAAGAAGTTTACAAATTTACTACCCTTTACTTTGAACTTTCCTAAAATTTGCAAATGTTTAAATTTTTTACTTTTTAAATATTATAATTATTTATATGAATGAACAATAAATGAAATATATTTTAAAAATAATAAAAAATACAATTTTATAGAAGGCTATTATCATTTAATTTATTCATGAAAATAATTTTTACTTGATTTATCTATAAATAATTATGTGTTAATTAAAATTTTCTCTAAAAATATATTTTTTTCTAGATTCATCTATAAAAAATGATTAGTAATAAATATTTTTTATATTAAATTATTATTATCATAGCATAAATTGTTATTTTTATTCATTTTTATTTTTAGTCATTCTTCTAATTTTTTTTTTTGATTTAATGAATCATATCACTTTTATGATTAGATGAAAAAAGTATATAAATTAAAGTATCATTCAAATTTACCATATAGTAAATCATCAAAATAGATTAGTTAATTTAATGTTTTTTTTGTAGTATTATTATATTATTTTATTATTTATTGTTATTATATATATATATTATTATTAATTACTATTTTTATGTTATTATCTTTATTTAGTTTATTCTTTTTAGTTTATATACATTAGCATAGCAGCTCTTAGAATGTAATTACTGTTCTGATTGCTGTATAATAATAAATGAATAAAAAAAAAATTACCACTACGTAATTAGGGCTCTCATTAGGGAGTTTCCTAAATAAGTCATATTTACGAATTCAAACTTTTTGAGTTCAAGTATATCCCAACAGCTTATAGAATACTTAGATTCTTATTGCTATTTAATTTGCAAATTAAAAAAAAATACCACTATATGTATCGGAATAATTGCAAAACCACTGTTGATAAAAGTTTGAATACCAATAATTTTTATATTATTCAAATCAATAAAACACTTTATATAACCACCAAAAACCACATAATAAATCAAAACACCACAATTACTACAATAACTTGTCTTCAAATCTGAATCGTTCACCTAGGGCGGTTTTTCGCGCGCGATCTTTCGGCCAAGACGTGCGCGAGACTTCGCGTTTCCGCGTGGACTGGACGAGAACGTGAAGTCGGAGATGTGGGCAGAGGATGGTGGATAGAGTCACCGGAATCGCTCTTCTCCTCGGCGTCACGTTATCAACAATGTTGCCTGCTTTCGAGATCGGGTGAAGAGAGGAACAGAGTATCGAAGAAGAAGAAGAAGAAGAAGAAGAAGAAGAAAGTGAAGATAGGGGTTGTTTGTTGCTTATCTTATGAAACAAAAAATGTATTTAAAGTTGTACGTTTAGATAAAACAACACCGGGTTTATGCAGTAGACAAACTAGCTGTAAGTGGAATTCTGTCTTAAGGCAATTAAGGCATCGTGCCTTAAGGCAAATTGCTGGAACTTCCCGTACCAAAAAATATTATTTTTTTAAAAACAATTAACATTTTTGAAAAAAATTTACTTCGAAAAAATAAGATTTTTGAGAAGCTATAAATTGGACAAAAAATTACTTTTTTTGAAAAAAAAATTTTTTTTTTTTTTTTTTTAAATTTTTTTTTTTGAAATTTTTTTTTTTCTTTATTTTGACATATTTTGGAAGATCTAAACTTTTTCTCAAAGCAATCGTACTGCTTTAACTGCATAAAGACGAAATATCAAAGCGCGTAAGCGCCGCGTTGCCGTCTAACGCGTAAACATTGGTACGGAACCCATAGGAATGTAAACAAAATTTATACTTATTGTTAAAATATCTATAAAATATCTGATAATTTGATGTGCATATGTCTAATGTTCATTTTTGACCGCCAAATGGCATTTTTTTTACTTTTTTTACTAAGTCTCCGAAACCGCTAGACCTACCTTTATGAAAATTTGATCAGTTTTTCATTTTGTTAATACAAGTAAAATGTTTTTTGAATTATTCAAATCGTTCTCTCCGCTCCGTTCTCTTAAAAACTGAGTTACCGTTTTTGGCACTTTTTGCCTCATATCTTCGGAACGGCTAGACCTGCCTTCGCCAAAAACTAATCAGCACGTCTCCTTATCAATACAAATCGAATGTTTTTTGAATTATTTAAATCGCTTCACCCGTGTTCCCGAAATCGTCGACGAAAATTTATATCCGAACACACATACACACACGCACACACACATTCACACGCACACACAAACATCCATTTTTTCTAAGGTATGCCAAAACATTCAGAAACCACTGAAACGTAAAGATATATAAACATTTTCATTTTCGATTTTTTTGCGATTACTATAATTTGCCCTACGAGTTAAAAAATGTATTCAAAGTTGTACGTTTAGATCAAACAACACCAAGTTTATGCGATAGATAAGACACATTTGTTTGTTTTCGATAATTGTTTACAAGTAGGAGGGACTGGGTACGGTTGTGCCAGGGTATGGTAGTGACTGCCGTCATAAGAGCTGAGCTATGCTGATTTTGAGATGAGAACCAAAGGGAAAAAGATGAGGAATGATTGTTCGAACAAATTTCCATTATTACATGCAGTCAGTGCTTTACATTAACATAATCTGTAAACCGCATGGCTTTTAAAGAGCTAAAATTGAGTTTTGTCATTCAAAAAAATA